CTTTATCTGAGAGCTAGTTAATAGTAGTAAATCTCCTGTCATGTCTAGAATGAACTGTCTGCAATGCAAAAAAAATCTGAAAGGCTTTTGCAAAATAAGCCTATTTCAGAATTGGCCATTATGGACAAACATGCATCAATACAAATATTAACATAGAGAAAACACTCTCAGAAAAAATTCTCAGAAAAAGTGTTTTTTTTTTTTTTTATTCTACTGGGTTGCTTTTCCATTATAAATGTGATCTAGACAGACAAGTTTGAATTTTGCGTTCTTGTTTTTTATTCCACTGACTTGCGTCTATAGGTTTTTTAACTGCAAAATTCTGTGTGAACGCATTTGTGTAAAACAAGTCTTTATTAATCCATAATCTGCCCCTCTAATCATAATTGTGTTTAAATATGAAGTGCTTGTGGTTTTTCCGCCTCTTAGAAACTGCAGTGATATACATACAAAATTTTGCCACAGGGATATGCTACGTTTTTTCAGTGAGTCTTGGTCAGTTGTACGGTCTGCACACAAAACACTGTCGGTTAATTCAGATTTGACGGATGAACTTGCATCGCCTCGCCTGTGATAAGACTCGCCAGTGCAACAAACACTGACTTTGTAATTAGCCTATGCTTGAAACTGAAACTTCATATTGAAAAACATGTGAACAATGATTTCAAGCAGTCTGTTTTACAACCATAATAATGGCATGCATCCAATTCAAATCTACCAAAAAAGGGAATTGTCACTCATCATTTGGAGCCAAATGTTTTGACAATACATGTCCTTTATGAGTCAACAGTGGAGTCGTGTAAAGGACATTTGAGTTTGCATTGGCTGCATTATTGTGTCCCTCTTGTGTCTCTGAGCCTGAAGAGGCCCCTGGGCTGAAACACAGTCCCAACCCCTCCTATCCCTTATTCCCCACATCCCACTATCCCCATGGCTCGGCCTGTAGTGTTTTTTTGTTGCGATGACAGGCCTGCGTCTCCCAGGAGGGCCACCCCCCCCAACTTGTACCCCACGCTATATACCAGGCAGCATTTCCTTTTCTCTTTTGGCGTCTTCCCGCATCGGTTCGAACGTCCCTCTCTGATCTCTCTCGTCTCTCTGTGGACTATCAGGACCCTCTCTCTCGCTCGCTCTCCATTTCTCTCTGTATTGTGTCCTCTCCTTCTCTCTTGTGACTTTTTATTCATTCAAATTTTTTCCTCTTTTCAGTTCGCTGTCTTTGTCTTGCTCTTTCCTTGTTTTCTCCTTTTCTCCGTTCTCCCCAAACTCCCCAGTGGGACCCCTGTTTTCCCTCTCAAAGATGCCTTTCAGCTCTCCTCTCCCTCTCTATCCCTGCTCTAGAGCTGGAGACGATCTGCTTTATTTATTTATTTGGTTTGGGCTGAGGTAGATCCTGCATATATTAGTCTTTATCTTAAGGTATAATCTGAAATGTTTTTTGAGCAGGTATCTGTGCAGTAAAGAGCATTACCTGCATGACTAATAATTAAATGTTTTTACAATATTATATATTAATATACAAATTATATTATATTCATATTACATAGCATTATTTACTAATATACGATTCAGATAATAGTGGTATTATATAGTGTTTTGTATTAATATACAAATTATATGGATGGATTGATAGATGGATGAGTTTTTCATTTTTTTAAATCTGATCTTTGGTATCCAAATTATTTTTATTGCTCTTATTGTACAACCATATTTTTTTTTAGTGACCATTTATATTTCTTCCAATGAATTTTAAGAGAAACAATGCGCTACTTAAATTACACAAAACTGCGAACTGAAAGGGCAACCACTGAGAAATATAAATTTCCCTCTGGGTGCTTAATACTCGTGCTCTGATGTGTCAGCTTTATAAGTGCCATATAAAAATAATCAGCTCACTCATTAACGCTGGAAGAGGCTGATTTGCTCTATAGAGTTTCTATCAGCGAATGTCAACAATGACAAGTGGAGAGAGATGCGCACACACCTCTGTTCAAATTGTCATCTATCACTCATTCTTGTGCATTAGCTTCCAGACAGTCTTCCCCTGGGATCTGTGACGAAGAGAGAGTGAGACGAGTGGCAGAAAGAGAGAAAAAGACACAGTAAGAGAGAAAGAGAGAGAGAAGGGGACATAAGTAATCCTTCACTTGTGATGTTTAATGTTCAAAGAGGGCTTTGTTTGCTAAGTGCCTCACTGCAGGGTGTGGATTGAAGGTTTGGGCGAGGGGGGTGGCCATGTCTCTCAATAATCCATTAGCTAATGGCTATCCAAAGCTCTGCCATCTTAATTCCATATGGCAACTGGCTGAACAAAAATACTAACATAAAACTAATAATTAGTGGCTCTAAAACACTGAGACATTAGGAGCCATGTGGCAATTCGATGAATTCAAAGACCATATTTATATATATAAGCCTCTATTATCATTATAAATTATCATTATCGCATATCACACGCTGACTGGACTCCTGTAGCCAATGAGATTGGTTCCTCAACATTTAAATGGTTTGCTGTAAGATATTCCTGCGAGGTTCTATCAAAATTCTTCTGAAACCCTCCACCTTCCCCAGCTCCACCTGCCTAGATCTGCTATGAAATTTACTAGTATGTCTATTTATGCAGCAGGAGAAACATGTCTTGCACAGTGTGTCTGTATATTTGTTAGCAGTAGCAAGCTCATACTTACTCTGCAGCAGCAGTGTAGCAGATCTAAGGCCTTATTTATGAAGCTAAAATCCATGCCAAAGTTCATATATATATATATATATATATATATATATATATATATATATATATATAACGGGTCTTTGACGTGGAACAGTGCTTAAAGCGCAACTTCAGGGTCTAAGCAGAAGTACACACTTTTACTTGTGGCAGAGAGTTGGAGTACTAAAGGTATTTGATAATCTAAGCAATTCTTGCTGCTCACCGCAATCAAGTAAAGAATTTGGACGTTGTTATATGTTAAGGACATTAAAGACAAACCATTCAGCAGCGCACAATTTCAAGATCGTTTGATATTTATAAATTTCACTTCTGGAAGAGAGGCGTATGCACAATTTTTGTGCGTACATTGGTTCTCTAAATCACATATGTGCACATTTGAGAAATGATCGTAAGATCAAGTGTAGGACACTTCCTATGCAACATTTTATAAATGAGGCTCCTACACCAACACCAAAAACATTAAAGCTGCAGTCTGTAGTTTTTTCTCTTTGTCGCCATCTCTGTTCGAAATCTGCAATTGTTGTAGTTATTTGCGGAATTATCAACTTTATGTGGGTTGTGCCTCGGCACGGCCCAGCGTGGATGAATCTAATGTTTTGAGGAGAATGTGCAGCTGTCAGTCTCCGCGCCGGTGTGGATATTGTCATTCGGAATCACGGATTCTACTTTTTGGAAGTATGACCAACATAAGAATTTTCACCCTAAATTGTCATCTGAGCAAGTAAAATCCATGTAAGTTCTGACCAAGTAAGGGCAAAAAAGCATTGCAGTAAATCACGATGATTAAATATAATGATCGCTTATACTATCACTGCATCACCAATGCGTGACTACATGTAATGTCCTTCCGATGTGTATCCTTGTTTTCGCATGGGTCCGGTTGCAGTCTCTTTTTTTCTGTAGTCACTCCGAAATCTGAACGAAGTCTTTTGCATTTTACAGCGGGTGAATCTGTTGTCACTGATGATTGTTGTTTGAACCTTTCTGGATCTGCCATCAAATTGATAAGTTTTAATTTTATCAAGTGCAATGAGAAAAGGCTATAAATCTCAACATCCATCATCCTCACACGCAATATAGCGTACTAGCCGAGACTCCTTCTTTATGTGACGTACTGACGCAAAGACATGCTCGAATCTCATTATTAAAAACATTATTACAAGCTTACCTCTTTGAATCGAGCTAAGGCAAGCAGATAGTTTTGAACACTGGCTGGTTATGTACCTGCTCAAAAATATATTTTGGATCATTTTTAACCCAAAAAAGTTACGGGCTGCAGCTTTAACATTGCTTTATTCAATAACATGTTAAAACTATTCAGAGAGTTTGTCATTATATATATATTTTTTTATTTGCCAGTTTTTTTTGTTTTGTTTTACTTTAAGGAGCTATTCCTACTTGATCTAACACATTTCAAAATTAATCTTTGCATAATATATTGAGGTTTATTCACTCACATTACATAAAAGCTTTGATTAATAAAACAGTTAATTTAAATGCCCTCAAATAAATCACATTTTTACATGACAAAACATTTATATGATGCATTATACTAAATTATAATCTACAGAATTATAATATACTCTTTCAGCTCATTTGTGGTCTTCTCTTTATTTTAGCAAACGGACGACTGACGATTAAGGCCTCAAAACACCAGCGATTCCCACTGAAACAACAGGCCGTGTTTTGATTTAATGGCTAATGATATTAACGATTCAAACTTGCATTTCACTAATGTTTCAGGGTCATGCTATGCTCTCTTTCAAGCCCTGTGCTGAGGCGGAGTTTGCCCTCATGCAGTCGGGTCAGCAGAATCCTGTCAGTGACTTTTACAAGCTAATCAGATCAAGAGCATCTTAAATTAAATATGCAAAGTAAAAAAAAAAAAAGATTAATTTTTGCTGATGACTGTAAATGCAAATGATGAGTCAATTAAATGCAATGCACAGTTCAATTAATAAGTTGAGGAGCCCATCATTAACATGTTTTCCTACATTCATTATGCTTTCAGGTATATAATAATTTAATGAATGAGGCTAATTAAAATGTGCTACTTTAAGGGGAATTGGCGGGTTGGGGTAGAAGAAAAGTGGGCTGGGCCCAAGGAGAGATCGCTCCCCGGAGATAACAAACAATCAGACATCTGTTGGCGATAAGATGGCACAAAAATAACATGCTGCGCTATGTTTATTACGTCTATGATCCTAACATGCCCCCAAAACACCTGCCTCTGGAAGAAAAAGCTCGAGTAAGACAAAAAATTAAATAAAAATCACAGACAAGAAGTAACTTTAATTTAATATTGTGAACTTTGAAAAGTTATTTTACAGCTTTCATCAAAAATGATAACAATCTATACAGTAGTTTTTGTCTTGAGTTTTCCTATCAACAGAACGGTTCAGTGTGTATCCAGTCAAAAAAAAAAAGAAAAAGAAAAAAAAAAAGAATAGGAGGCAGAAAAAAAGGAGACCATCTTTCTGGTTCGAGTCTTGTGTCCTCTTAATAATTGCGATGGAGCTGCTGACAAAGTAACCAATGTGTAACAACCACATATGGAAAAAAAAAAAAACCATCATGAAAGCTCAATCTTCAGTCATTTCTGATAAAAAGTCCTCAACACAAACCCCAAATCAGCATATTGAAAGTCATTTTCTGTTAGATGCCAGAGTGCAGACACACGTTACTTAAACCATTCACAAAAGAGCCCTGAAGAGCGATCATCGAGGGCCGATTGAGCTGACAGTAGATTCAGACAACGTTACAGACTGGGAGTCAGCAGCACGTCAGCTCTGGGGGAAAGGCGTTGTGCTCTGATATCGAGTCACTTTGCTCAGGGTGAGAAATACGTGAACAGTACCTTACAGAGTGCTGCACCACGAACAACATACACGACCCAGAACATGCAGGTTCACATGCACCTCCAGCTAAAGGGAACATCCCCTCCGAGCGAACGGTGAGAGTGTAGAAGATGGCTTTGAGCCTCTCTCCCTCTCGTGAACGCAGCAGACACAAAACGAATGAAAAAAGGCAGACTTTTGCTTTAAATTAATGAGAAAGTGCAACCCATCCCACCAGCAACACATAAAATATGAATCATATAATCTCTCTTTATATTCCTTCAAGTTCCCTTTCATTACCCTTCATAAACAAACAACAGAAAAAGGACAAATAATTCATTTAACCCTCCTCGCTTTAAGTAAAACAGACTGATTTGTGCTTTTTTTTTTCTGGAAAGAAATCCCTTAAGGACCTCTACTGTTATTGGTGATGGTGGTTGAGAAGTCTGTACAAGTGATTGTACGCTTATGGGTTTGCATTGTTAAGGCATCTATACTGCTGGTACTGATAAGCGTGAGAGAGAAAAAATGGAATAGACAGATTTATAAGCAGGCATAAATAATCAGATAAAGAAAAGAAAAGAAGAAAAAAGAACATAGATTAAAACTTCATCAAAAAACGTCCTCCAAGGTTTGACACGCAAAACAAAACCATCACTCTCAGAGAAGAGCCCATGCATATTATTACAATAGTACAGGATCTGTAAGCCTTTAAAGAAAAAGATATAGATTTATATATTCATCATTTATATATTTATATATATATATTTATATCATTTGTTAAAAAAAAAAAATTAACTAAATGCTGTGAGATGCTACTTTTTTGCCATACATAAAAAAATTCCAAAAGGAAAACAATTGCTTTTTAACTTACAAATTATACAAAAATAGACAATGGCTTTTTTTACGAATGGAACTTAAAAAATTGGAAGCAAACATGGACCTAAATGCAGACAAAAACATTGACAATAAAGACAAGGCCGGTGTTGAAAGCGAACATATGGACAAATAATTACTAAAAACCTTCCACAATTAAAGTAACGTTTGGGAGAAAAGAATGTACAAAATCTGGATATACATACATTATTTATATGCATCATTTACAGAGACTCCCCTCTTTTTTGTCCAGAATCCTTGATTTGTATTTGCTGAAGTTTGAGAGATTTTGAGTAACTTTGAGAGTGTTATTATGAGCTGCCTTAAGCCATTCTGAGATAAATACAAATAAAACAAAGACTTTGGCAACGGAAAGTATATGTACAAAAATAGACGACTACCAAAGTTAGCCAATCAAACTGCTGTAAGTTGGGAGTTTGACACATTTGGAAAGCATCCTTCATACAGTGCTGTCTAAACATGAAAATACTTCGCTAATTCAAGTCATGTCCCCCAAAACAAGCCAAAGAAACACAAAAAAAGAAAAAGGGTTGTTCTAACAGTCGGCTCTGAAATAGTATTCTCTCACTCTTCATTTAACCGATATCCTTCACTCGTGAACACAGCAAACCAAACACGGTAAAATTTATATAATCACAGTTTCATTTCATTCATAGACAAAGCAATAACAAAAAGAAAAGAAAAAAATCATCACATTTTTTAAACACATAAAATTCAAAGTTTTTTTTTTATTAAATGGCATGGCAACTGAGGGCGTTTTCCTTCATCCATCTGTTTACTGCATATCTCTGCTCTATTTAGCAGCAAATATTTGCATGAACATAAATACTGATTTATTGTGGTAATTAGGTTGCTTTTTCTTCTCTTTGAGAACCAATCTGGACATTAAAACATTACAGCATGACAGCATTTAATAACTTTCCTACATCATAGCCATCCAAACCGGCTGGTACCCAGATGCTTCATATGACTCTTCACAAAAAATTACAACAGGGAAGTGAGTATGGCGCTACTATTTCATTTAGTAAGAAAAACAAACAAGATTATGGCAAACTATTTGTTGGCTTCTCTCAGGGACAACAAAAAAAACAACAACAACAACCCTCCACTCTTCTTTTCTGTGTTCAAGCAGTTGGCCTAAATGTTCTCATTTGGATTTTGCACTAATGTGTCTGTTTGTATAAAACCTGGTCAGTATTAACACATCTGTGCCGTTGCCAGTCACTATTCTTGGGAACATTACGGATTCACCTGCTCCTAAAGTGTCATCTTTGTGTGACAGAGTCCTTAAAAAAGGCATGTGATCATTGAATTCATCAAAATGAATATGAATAAAATGAAAAAGAAATCCATCCCTCCTTTACGCATGGGTAAAACACGGGGGGGGGAAAGTCCTTCAATAGAGCAGTCCAGAAATTAGCTTAAAAACAAAAGCAAACAAATTCTTTCTTCCCATAAAATGAGATTCCTTTGTCAAAAGGCCTGAGTTTTAAAAGTTCAGTTTTCATGTGTCTCTTCCACCAGAAATTGCCTTCAGCTCAGACCGTCGATTCTCTGGCGAGAGCTGAAATCAAATGTGCCTCTTCAGCAGCCCAGGTGCCCCTACATGGGAGGAACAATCATCCCTGGGATCACTAGTCATGAGAAGAGAGAGAGAGAGACAGAGAGAGAGAGAGAGAGAGAGACAGAGAGAGGGTAAGACATGGGATTGTTTGGTTTCATGTGTCATGCAACAATCCCAAAAGAAAAGCATCTGGAGAGCATGTCTTATTCAAACGATGTAAACAAATAAGACTGTTTTCTTGTGTTACAGTCAACCTTGCACACAGACAGAAAAGGACGAGTTTGAAATACTGCTTTGTGCTGACTTCGCAATATATGTCTGGAAATTACAATAAGTTCAGTGTTATTTTTATACACAATTATAGTTTATTAATATTTACAATTTTGAGCTTCATTTCAATTTTAGATTCATTTTGAAGAGCGTTGTTGGCTTTTTTTCAAGTTCAATTTTAATTTTATTTCAAGTAATTTTTGTGTTTTAACTTATCAAACTTATTCCAGTTACTTGTAGAAAATGTCAAATTTCCATCTAGTTTTGTTTAGTTAAAGTGAGATAAATATATGCATATTTCTACAAAGTCAGAATGTCCAGCTCCATGGGCGGACATGTTGGCTTTAGGTCAAACTGACCCACAGTCATGTGACCCAATCGCAAACTGACTCAACTATGATAATGCAACACTATTGGATGAAAAATGATTTCTCATGCATCCTACAAGAGGACTAAATAGTATGCAATGTGCACAACAGGATACATGTTTAAGGGTTAAATAATTTCACTCTAACCAAGCACTGATTTGGTCCACGGTGTCATTACCCAACCAGACGTACTTCCTAATCCATAACCATATACATTCATACTTTAGCTTGAGATCGCCCTGCTGCGCCATTATGAAATGTTCTGTTAAACCCTCCTCCTCCCCAGCACCACCCGTAAAGCAGCATGTCTATTATGTATGTTATTTTAATTTGTGTATTTGCTCAGCAGCAGCGTGGCAGATCTCGTCTGCCAAAATCAAGCATATGTACATTCCATATCCCAAAACCAATAATTACTGTTTAAATAATTCACCCCTAGAGTTTGAAATAACTTAACAACTATAACCACGATACGGTTACTGAGATGTTGTGGAACAATTTTAAAGTAAATCTATGCTGTGAAATGGAGACATGGAGGACAAAGCACAAGGATCACATCTAAACAACCAGGTAGAAGTATGGCTTCAATCAGCTGAAGGAGGGACGGAGGGACTAAACGAATGCAGAAGTATATCCTATAATTCACTGTGCTTTCGATCACACTGAAGCTGTACATTAATCAGAAGGATGTACAATTCCCCGCGAGTGGGTGAGGATAATCTTTATTCTGTATGATCCACCTAAGGTTGCAGGTCGTCCGTGTTTAATTGGAGTCATTGTCAGGATAAATAGTGTCTTGCTTTACAGGCTGTATATCAGTCTCCCCATCAGGGAGCCATTATATGAACAATTCATCAATCCAATTAGTGATAACACCATAGGACGGCTTTGCGACGCATTAGCTAATGCCTCTCTCCCATGAGGACAAAGATCCACGGGTTCGGAGGAGACGTTAAGGATATTCTTACAGTCGGAGGGACTTTTCATTTACATCAAGAGCGTAGAGGACAAACTCAGTGCGCTAAAAAGAGTACGCATGCTGTTGTTAGCTATTTATACTCTTAAAAATGACTTTCATTGGTGTAATCCAATCCAGTCATTTTAAATAATATATTTGACTTGAATAAAAACAGGTCATTTAAAGCTGTTTTCAATTGACTGTGGGTTGCGATGAGTGTTTATTCCATGTGCCTATGGGGACCAACGCACAGTTTTGCAGACATCATATATTCGAGACAAATTACAAACAAACAGCTATGCTAATAAAAAAGTGCATGCAGAGTATACATAGTCTGACCCAAATTAACGTGCTTGCCAACACTTAAACAAAAATAGCATCAGTTTGGATAAATATTTTTTTGTTCTCAAGCACTAAACAATGTTCCGTCAAACATTAGTATCGCTTCTATTCATTATTGGCCAAGAGGAAGGAAGTCCCATGAGCACCGAGCCGGGTTTCTCTCTCCATCGCTCTCCACGTTCAGCAGGCCATATCACAGCACCAGATTTTTCATGTAACATATTGGCTTCCTATTGATTTCCTCTCCCTGGTCCCTCATCTCTAATTCCTGGGTTATTTCCTGAGTGTCTCTGCCTCATTTGAAATGGAAAAGAAATGAGCGGTGACCGACAATCAGTCATCAGGTCAGAGTGCTGAGTGCATATCAACATACGGAGAGGAAGCACTCCACGCTTGCAGATAAGCGATGTCTGCCACAAACGCTCAATTACTTTAATATTGTCTCACTGTGGATGTCTAAATATTTCAGCTCAACACCCAGGGCCAAATGCTGCGCAGAGTAATTGTCATAAATCATAGGACGCTGATTGTGGCTTTCTTTCAGATAACAGTTAACATATGTCTGTTTTATGTAGCAGGCTGAAAACGAAAGAAGTGTCCCAAGTCCTGAGTACATTATCACCTTAGTATAAATAGTGCACACAATTGTTATTTTATTTTATTTAACCAAATGCCCAGGTTAACTGTATTGCAGTGTTAATTTTTTATATCCCAGTGAAGAGAATGATAGTGTCGCATTACAGTAATGCGAATTTATGCGGGAATCTGCTTAATTCTTCAAAATAATGCCACAAAGCAAAATATCTTAATAGAAATGTGGGGTATTAATAACATCTGCACATTTCTTCTTGAGATTAGCCTTTAGTTAACTGACTAACCCTTGTTTTCTACGTACACTCCACAGCCACAAGCAAACTCAAAGGAGGACTTGACACAGGAAACAGGAAGTCAGGCAGGAAACAAAATACATATGGAATGCCCTTCGAGGCATGCAGCAGGCCCCTGGTGACCGAGCAGAAGTGAGGAGAATGAGGGAGGATGAAGGGAGAGGATGTTCTGACAGTCATGCTGATGGATGGCTTAATGGATAGAAAGAGAGGATGATGAAGAAAGAGTGTGAGACAGGTGTAACATACTTCAGGAGAAGGCCAGTCCCTGCAGGGAGCTGGCGGTGGAGTACTTGCTAGAGTCCACAAAAGATTGATCTACTGGAAGCAGAATGAGGAACCAGGGGAAGGGGAAGGAAGATGAAGGAAACACAGAGAGAGAGTTATTATTTTTAAGTACAACAAGCGGAATTGGGTCAGAGAAGCAAATATAAAAACAGATTACCACAAGTTAGGGCAAACTGAAAGGTTGTAGATCAGACACTCGAGTGCTATTTCAAAACAAGTGAGCTGCATCACTGCCTACATTCAGTAGGCAGATACCTTTAAACTGAAATGGAACCTCATAAGTGGCTATTTGGAAAGCTTAACATAGACACAGTTTCCTTGCGTCGTATACACATGGAAGACTTTTGGAACAGAGTGTTTAGAAATAATATTATAATATTTGTGCTTGTGCTTTCTTGGATAGGTCAAGCTATATGTTCTGCTGCTCCACTCACCTTGGAGGCCGTTTCCGTTGGCACTGGTGCAGGTGGGGGGCGGCGAGGTCTGGGGCCGCACGACGGGAGCAAAAGCGCTCTTCTGTTTGACTGCAGACACCATGTTGGCCGGAGAGAAAGAGAAGATGCCTGAGGAACTGCTGCAGTTGGAGGGAAGACTGGTGGAGGAGGCCATGGTGGGACTGGAAGGAACAACTGAGGGACAGGGATGAACGAAAGAGGGAAATGGGTTCAGGATAGGTCAGAGCAAACCTCATAGTCCTACAGTGTACACAATGGATAGGGACCGAACACAGACCCATAAAATATTTGTGTAGTTTAAGAAAATGTATATGTAATGTAAAATTGTGTATATTTTTTATATTATTTTTTGACTGCACAAGCTCCACAGATTAACAACATCTCCTCTCCTCTCAGTCCCTCCCCTGCCCCGTCTCTACCACCTCTCCTTTTGTCTATTAATACCCTAAGAGCATTTTCCCCCTCAACGATTTTACAATTACTCCTGTCGTATTTCAGCTGCTCTCTTATATCCTGCTCTACTTTTATTGTTGTTATTATTCTACACTTAAATTTTTTATGGCACTTTTCCAAGTAAATTCTCCTGATAGTGTCATAATCCATTTATGAAGAACTAACTAATCAATTAATGAAAATTGGAGCCCACAAAGCCTGCTCTCTCGCATTGATTGAAAGTGTCAGCGTGGAGTCAGTGAGCCTGTTAAAATACTTGTTAACATCTCGGAATCAAAGTACCGAAGTTGAATTGCTTCTCCTGCAATTAGTTTATTGATTTAATTAAGATGCTTTAATTTAGAAGCCGTGCGAGAAGATTGGTGTTATACGAATGGCTAAGCATTATAGACAGCATCTGATCATGGCTCAAGAAAAGAGAGGCTGGGATTATTTTTCTGCTCTTAAAGAGACACACACTCACACACACACACACAGTAATAGCTATGACTGTTGATCTAATTTTTTTCCATTTCTTTTAGTGGGGGCTCCTGTGTCAGGACTGGCTCACTTGGTGGTCTGAGTGAAATATAATTCAGACATATGATGTGATAATGATACTACAGTTTATGCTTAGCATGCATGGACTCAGTTCAAACATTTTTGAAAAAAGTCTCTTATGCTCACCAAGGCTGCATTTATTTGATACAAAATACTGTAAATCAGAATTAATATATGTATATATATATATATATATATATATATATATATATATATATATTAGGGCTGTCAGTTTAACGCGTTATTATTTATCGCGCGATTAACGGTCTTTTTGTCCTAGCAAACTTTGTAGTTTTTTCACATGCTTTTGCAACATCCATTTTGCCGTCTCGCGCACGTCATCCACTCAAAGCCGGCTCACAAGCCGAAACGTGTCTTTGCGGCGAGCCTGTTGTTTTGTTTACGGTCTAGATCCGCTTGCGCTTTGGTCGAAGAAGCAACAAAACGTCCTTTTTGTGCCGCACACACTCGTTTCGGCTTGCGAGCCTGCCGAGACGCCGAAATGGATGCCCTAAGATTCTGAATGGAAAGTTTACTTTTAAAAAGTTGCCAAATATTCCCATTGACAAGACCAAGTGATCTGTGTGTTTTGTCGTTGTGAACGGAGCGATCATCATCGCAGCACGTCCAGTCTGAAACACCACTTGATGATGGCCAAGCATACACACACACACACACACACAGATGATGCGAATTCTCCACCCCCTCATCAATATCAGGACCTCAGTATTTTTTTCACCCTTTTATTGATAGAGAGTGTTACATTGTGTGAGAGATTATGTTATTGTTATAATATTTTAGTGTGAAATTGAGCACTATTCCAATGTTATTTTCAATAATAATAATAAAAAAACCCATTTGCACTAAACAAGCCAATCCACTTTTCCATGTTGATAAGAGCATTAAAATGAGAAAAAAATAATGTAACAAAAAGAAGTCAAAAGACATTTAGAATAGATAAAAATGTGTGATTAATCACGAGTTAACTACGACATTAATGCGATTAATCGCGATTAAATATTTTAATCGTTTGACAGCACTAATATATATATACACACACACTAATCACTTATGCGAATGCTCATATTTATGTGCACATGATTCAAAAGGGTCAAAAGGGTGCAAGTGGGTCAAAACTCACTGGCATAAGGAGAGTTGGCAGCAGAGCCGTTGAGGAAGTTGGGCGATCCTCCCAGCGTGGTCATGCCTGTGTTTCCGTATCCATTCATACTGGTAGAGACGGTACTGTAGCTACTCTGCTGGGGTGTTGTGCTGGGTACGTAACCGTGGGGAGATACACTGCTTGTGTTTCGACTGAAACCTGAAAACGGAAAACACACACCGGAATGAGAGGAGCCACACATGACATAGAATATGCAAAGACAGAATAAATAAAAAGACAAACAGAATCAGCTCCTGATCACCACTGACCTTTAGTATATGGAAAAGAACACTGTGAGCATTCTGCTAAACAAAGTCATACAGGTTTGGAATGACATAAGGGTAGATAAATGATGGCAAAATTTCATTTTTGGGGTGAACTATTCCTTGAATCTGTGTGTCAGTAGCATATGGAGGCAGAGAGGACAGAAGGAGGATATGGACTATAAATATACATCAGGACATTAAACGCTGACATGGGTGAAAGCAGCAGGAAGTTCTCGCTCCAGGAGTCCCCGCTGTCTGGTACAAAGGCAGCGCTCATCTCTGCTCTGCTTACTATTCATTCTCCCTCTCATCACACGACTGATACATTACTGCTGACTTAACACAAATCATTCACTGTCACAGAGGCCAAGGAATGCTGAGGTAAAGGAGCCTGGAGGTTCAGGGCGCATTGCTGAATGGTTGTATCTGTCTGCATGCTGTCTATCTCTGTAGTTCTTACCCACTTCCCCATGCTGTAGACTACAGACTACTGTGGCACACTTTACTGGGACTGTACGGAATCACTCTTACACAGAAAGGAGGCGTTTTTTGCGATGGGAAGATTGACAATGACTTATTAAATACAATATTTCAGCACCTGGTTAAACTGGTTTGAGGGTGTTAAGTGAATAAAACAGATGTTTGTGCTAAAGTACCACATGTTAAAGTGAATTCACTGGTTATGGTTAATCATATAATAATCTCTGTCTTTTTTGTGAATGGCCAAAATATCTTGAGGTTGTCAGATTGATGTCATCTCTGCTCACCCTGATTGGCTGCTTGTGTGGAATCGGACACATTGACAGCGAGCTGGCTGTGGAAGGAGTTGACACCCATCATGCCAGTGTGGACTGAGCTGTTAGCCAGGCCTGGCAGCTGGTTGTGACCACGTGGGACGTTGTAAAGCGCCTCTGCGATATCTGCTGCTCTTTTCAGAATGATCTCCTGTCATGATCAACAAAGAAATGAACCAATGCCACGATTAGAAGGATATTAGTTAGCCAACAACTGCCTGAAAAACCACCACTCCCCTTCAAATAATCAATAATAATAATACTATGCAGCACAATAAAATGCATTAAAAATAATATATAATAACCCAATGAATACAAATATGAATAAATAGCGAAAATAATACTTTTATAATACATTAAGAAACGATTTCAAAACCCCAAATATATTCATCTTAGCACTGCACCTTATTGTTTAGTATTTTAAAAATTCATATAGGTTGCCTGTACATAGTTTTAAGGTAGCCTGTACATGTGTTGCCACCTGTTCAAATAGGATCAAATGAATCAGTGAATTAGAGGGTCAACATATTGTTAATTCTAAATAACAAAATACAGAAGAGGAATCGTTTTCAAAGAGGTTCGTTTATCTGCCAGTCAGTCTAGATCGAGAGCAAAGCACAGAAGTTTGGGGTGGAGGGGAGTGGGGCTGAACATTTTGGTCTCATAATTCACCCTCATAAAGATGACAGGACCGTGTGGAGGTTGGGGGGAATAGGGGTTCCTAAGAGAGAGTGGGTTGATGACTGGAGTCATGCTCCATCCACTGCCCAGCCTAAATAATTCAGCATCGCTGCACTCATGCTCAGCTCAGCAATCGATAAGCATATGCCCTCACTCGCAGTTCATAACTGATCTAACATTGAAGATGCCCTTGTGGTCCTTCAAACCAACGAGAGAGAGCTCTGGAGGAATTGAGTTGGAGGGTTTATGTTGGAAATATGTTAGGGAATATTAGAGAACGGGTCTACGGGAGCTCTGGAATGGACTTAACTGGGAACAAAGCCCTACCTGTAATGCTCTATTAAATCATATTACATGTGGAGGATGGTATTATTTACACAGATCCTATATCACAATCTTAAACATAATAATACAATATGTACCCTCTCCTGTGTTTACACTCTTGCCTAAAAGGATGCGCAGCATTTAATATTTTTTTCCTTATATGCAATTTGTAGAGTTAAAAACATTATTTTTAGTTTCTAGTCATTTCTAGTAAATTGTGTATAGATTTCAGCCCCAAATTATTTATGAATCATGATTTCTCAATGAGGCCCTGTGCATCAAGAATGTTTATGGTTTGTAGTCTTGTCGTGTTCACTTGAATCTTACCTGATTATTGTGTGGCATCCCATACAGGGCTTCCACCAAGTCTGCTGCCCTCTTCAGAATCACCTCCTATAAGACAGAAAGTTTAGAAGTTGGCACTTAAGCTTTCCATTTCTAATGATATCAAACGTGCAAAACATGATATACTGTAGACCACAGACAATATATAGTAATAATAAAAACATATTTCAAGACAATATCTGAAATCAAGTCTTTAAAAACATGCCATTTATTTTATGAAATTTATGAGGATGTAAAGGAGAGATTTTTTAGGCATGACTTAATTATCAAAACATTCAATTTGTCTAGTCTATTTGGTTCCTCGACTGACACAAAGAGACCTACAGTACAATTACTAGATCAGTCCCTTTAGAACAATATCAGGTTAAGTGTTTTGCTAAAGGGCACATTGCTAACAGGGGACCTTCAGTTCATAGATCACCCGTGACGGGGTTTGAACGTGACCTTTGGATTGCTAGCCAATAATCCTGACCACAACTCCCCTTCACTACCATTTGCAGAAGGAAAATGTCTAAGAAAACACCAGTACTTCATCTAGCACTTCCTAGCAACAGCACTGCCACCGATTCCATGTATAATACATGAATACAAACACATTTAAAGCAACTACGTGCATGTTAGTACATGTAAAAGACTGCTCCGCAGGAAGCATGGGCTACAGTAATGCTATTTTCCTTCCAGGTTATTGACTTTCACTTCCATAAACAAAAACCTATTTATTACCAACCTTTTCACACATTAAACATTTATTTACACTGTGTATTCATTTCCTTGCTTCTCTTCTCTTCTCTTCGTTTTTTTTTTTTTTTTTAAGCCTGAAGCTCCAGTGGAACCCTTTTTAAAAGTTAATGTGCGGGTGCTGAGGAAATAAGCTTGCAGTGCGACAACCAGAAAATTGTTCTCACCCTCAGCGTGTAACCCTCGCTGCGAACAAGCCCCCGAGCATGTGTGCCTGCCTGCCAGCCGACATATTGCCTTTCAATCAGCCCCCTCCACCTCCCCCGGCAGCCCCAGACGCAACACACAGACACGAACATGACGAGGGGGTCAGCAAAGCAATAAAGATTTTTAGTGCGCTGTCCAAGGTGCTAAATTCACTCAATAATGGGAGATCTGGCACTGCGTTAACCCCTCGTTAGGGGTGCTTCACGGGGGAGGCGCCCGTCTCCGTTCTCCCGGGCTAGGGCTGGGTGATTGAGAGAAGCGCGGGAGCCTGGGGAGGCCTAAAGTGGTGCTTTAGTATGGATGTGTGTCTCCGATGGGCTCTTTTCTCCTTTACCCTCTTCTTTGCGGGATGAAGGAAGAACATAAGGGATGGGAAGTATTAGTCCATGGGTCGGGTCCCCCGCTGCACCAGCACTGTGTCATTTATCCAGTACACCTCTACGCGCACCTCGTACTCTCTTCTACTTCTCTCCCTTTCACGCTAGTCTCCTTTGTTAGAAGGTCTCATCCCTACCTATTGATCTCCCGTCATTACGATATTCGGGGGGTGGGAGAGAAATCTGTTGAGAGGGCAAATCCAATAAGGAAGGGGCCAAAAGTTTGTCCAGATAAACAAATAAATGCTATTAGCAAGGGCTTTGTGCGGCGGGCCTGTGTCTGGAAGCAGAGCCCATTTCCTGGGCGAGTAGCAGGGCTTCCAGTAAGGGTCGAGCAGGGAGCCAGGAGCGGTAAACAGGAAAGAAACCTGATCTTGGATCTGTGCATCTGTATAGCTGTCTATCAGTCAGAGCCATCATAACCTGAGCTCTATCCTCCCCCTTTTCCACTCCTTTAGTACGGCTATGAGCTATGAGGACCCAATCTCCGTTTCGACCCATTTGGAGTGTCTTTAGCACCCTGACAGGTGTTTTCCAGCTTTGTTTTCCATCACAGTGAAAGCTGAGATGTATATATACACTCATAGTAATACATAAGCACGTATAAATGTGAATGTGAGCAACCAAACAACCCCAGGCATAGTGTTTCGAAGAAAATAATATCAAATAGCCACAGCACTGCACCGTTAGGGCCAGCCTCCACATTAATGTGCGCCGGACATTGAATCTGTTCCTGTGTGTAAATTATGGTGGCTGGTAATATGATATTCATTCATTAGGAAGGGGACTGCTGAAAAAAAAAAAAATGAAATAAGGCCCGGGTCACATCTGGAATGTTAAGGCAATGGCGTCTGCACATTTACAAGGAAGCCAGGCCTGTAAAAACATGACAAATTTATTCCTGTGCTTGTTCATTTGCAATTTTATCATCTCCTAATGTTCTATTAGGGCAGTAATACCAGCAGGGTCACCATCGTCGCTCATGCGGAACGGAGCGGAGTGATGATGTCATACTTCCTGCTCTGCTCCCCTGACCTTATGGACTGCTGGTCTTGTGGAGGTTCGGATTTTATTAGCTTAACTGAGGTCCCGTACAGGTAGTGCTGTGCAGTCACAAACTCATTTATATAAATGTATATTTATATAAATACAGCCTTCAGTCCACAGCATCTCAGAATTGTTTCCAAAGCTGTCTAAAAACTTTAATCAAAGTAATTACACGATATGCAAATTGATTAATCAAAATTCATTGCAATTCATTGCTGGTAAAACACAGAAGAGATTGCGTTATAGTAGTAAATTAGATTTTTTTGAGTTAATATACTGCTTATTGTATTTTACATATAATAATTTCCTCGAATTACTCATAAGTAGGAAAATGAAATACAATTTTTATGTTATTATATATTTTTAAAAATATATAATAAATAATACTAATGATGATTATAAATATGATTTATAATATTAATCATTATTATTAATATTATTAATCATGCCAAAATAAACATTAATAGACAGCCTTATTGCAAATATTGAAAAAAATAAATAAATAATACTAGAATATAAGAACAGCACATAGTACTGTAGTGTTAGGTTGCACCAAATGCAAAACCAATCCAAGACAAGTGGGATGTACATATAATCTGTGCAAACTGTCCACACAAACTCATATGCCTATATTTGTTTGCAATAAATGTAAATGCTTGGCTCAAACAGTGACCACACCGGTGCGGTGTGTAATGTCATGCTGTTCATACCCGCCAATGCTGCAATCCATTTTGATGAATGAAGGCTATCATATAGTGAGCCTTTCCTTATCCTGACAATAATCCAATCTTCAGTTTCAAACACAACATTAATCGCTGATGTAAGAGATGAGATACTCCAACCATGAGTCAATACAACTGCGACGGTTCCCAGAACAAAGTGTTAGGTGTTAATCTGATAGAAAAGTGTCTTAATTTTATAATTTTATGACAGCCTTATGACAAACTTAGTTACGGGCAGCATAAGAGAACGGTAATTCATCATCAATATGGTTTGTGGTGTTGTGATGCATGACACTTAATATGCATGCATTTTCCTGAATTTAAGCTAACGGTGCGTATGGTGTCACACGCGTGTTAATCACCTTTGCGTGAGGTAAACTGTGATTTCTGCAAGAGTGCATTGAATGAAAGTAGCCATCATATTGTGTAGACGCGGTGAATCATGTGTGAAGTAGAGCAGAATGTCCATTCCATGTGTATGAGCACAGCTGATGTGCAGTTCTTTGACTTTCGCAGATTTGAGTTTGCTTGCTGTCCGTTGTATTGCTTAAAATAGTGGCATAACCACTGGGCTTATCTAATGCAAAATATGATATTCTTAGGCTTCCTTTTCCAATCTTTCCCTCCCCCACCATCAATATCTGCCTATCATAAATATCAGTCACTGTGCTCTTTAACTAATGTGACTTCATTGCATAATTCATATTCTCTCAGGGCCTGAAAGGTTACTCTCTGAAAGTCAATAATAACCTGTCTATCCACATCTGCACAGTACGACAGCGGAGTGCAGCCACCAAAAATTTGCAAAGACAGAAGGTCTGGATCACATACTACTCAATGACTTCTTTTAAAGGTGCCCTAGAATTTGAAATTGAATGTATCCTGGCATAGTTAAATAACAAGAGTTTAGTACATGGACCTGACATACAGTGAGTCTCAAACAGCATTGTTTTCTCCACATAACACAGAGTGTGACGGAACAGTGGGGATCATTAATATGTACGCCACCAAAAATTTGCATTGCCAGCCCATGTTTAATGCCAGGCAGAACTGTGCAGCCAAATCATCGAAAGTTCTGCTGGTAAAGAGACAAGCAAAGATCATAGGGAGATGGCAGATCATGGAAACAAATGTTATGTTCCAGGCTGTGCAGGGGATGTGAGGACTTTTCATTCCCTTCCCAAAGAAAATAAATGTCAACAGGCGTGGTTGATGTTTATCTATAATCGGATACGCCAACAGCTTAATTCAAAGTTGTTAGTTTGCTTTGCCCATTTCGACACAGACTTATTTTCTAACCTGGAACAATATCAAGCAGGCTTCTCTCAGCGTCTCATATTGAAGAAGGGGGGAATTCCAACTATATTCCCGCAAGTGTAAACTACTGATTTTATTAATGATAATTTAGATCCAGCGCAAGGTCCTAGTACAGTAACAATAGCAAACTCCAAGTAACGAGCATACATAACTAAATAAAATGACAAAGTATTTACGCTGAGGTTAACATTTCTTGTCTGTGTTGTCAAATAAATCTACAAAATAATAGTGTAGATACATATGAAGAGTTCAGATGCAAAAGCCTCTAAATGCCATTTGAAATTTTCTTCTTTAATGATGATTTTTATCAAACTTGTATATTTAAGTTCAGTAATTTCACTTAAATAACAATTAATAGGTAATTATCATTGCCATTTAAGCGAAATCACTGAACTTAAATATACAAGCAAAATTCCCTTTTGTCAAATAATTTTACTTTCGTCTATTTCATCATCAACAACAACACGTCAGGGGCTAACTATCTTAGTTTAGTTGCTCACAGATAATGTTAGCTCACTCGATCCTTCTAGCTAACGTCACATTCTCCACCACATTAGTTGAAGCTATTTATTTGACAGGGCATCTAACGCTAGTCCGTTTGTTAAAATGTTTTCATTTTTGAAAACTGACGTTTGATTAT